TGTCATAAGTCTCATACTTATGCCCTTTTTATTCTGCCCTACCATAGATCTTTGCTCTCTCTGAGTGAACCCCTGAAGAATTATGTATCATCTGAAATTTAATCGTCCAGATGGGACATAACTCTGCTGAGCATTTCCAGCAAAGGTCCTTAAAAGACAGGAGCTCTTTTAATCTGCAGATTTTTTTCTTTTGCAGTGAAATTATATTTCTTCATTTCCATAAAATTATCTTCTGTTTAACTGTTTTGGAATATCAACTCCAGGGACACAAATAATCTTTTGTTATGTCGTCTTTGTCTTTCTTATTATTATTGACTTCTATCCAATTGCTTTCCTCTTTGTTGGTAAAGATTCCACTGGTGTCTATTCTGTTTCCTGCTATTCCTAATAAATATTTTTGTTCTATAATTGTCATGCTATTTTCATTCTCAATCTGTTGCCCAAGATCTAAACTATCCTTTTTCATCTCATTCTATTGTTTCATCATCTAATCTTGGAGTTATTGTTTTACAGAATTTGTGTTCTTATTAAGTTTGGCGCTCTACTCACAAGAAGCAAGTATTAGTTCCATGGATACAATGGTTGATGTTTTCTTCTTGGTGGAAGGTCCAAGATTAGTTGAGGAAGGGCATTGTATTGCAGAGAACTACAGATCATTTTCCCAATTTGGAGGGGCGCTCTGAAGCCTTCATTTCTCCAGAGAAACAATGTTTGTTCACCTTCTTCCACCTTCACTAGTTCCTCTTCCAGAATCCTTTCTACTATTCCTCAGTCACAAGAAACAACAAGAACAATTTTTTTAAAAAGTGGAAGATAGCCAATCAGTTTGTCTCTCTCCGGAACTGGAGAGAATTTTCAGTGAATTGTCATCTTGTCAGTAAAACTCTAAAAGGACCAGGATCCCTGCTTCCCTTTTTTCCTGACAACTAGTGTCTGAGGCAACAATACAGTAGGTCATATCATTTTCTTTGCTCAGTTGTTGCTAATATTAAGTGTGTTGGGGGGTGCGTTTCCTGGCTTATACTGTTTTGAGGTCACTCCATTATCTGTCAGGGTGAGAAATTATGTGCTGCATTTTCACATGCCTCATCTCCAGACTCAAAATCACCTTTTTACATCCACAATGTGGGTTTATTTTTGTCTTCTTCCTTAAAGGATTTAAGAACAAGTATGCCACCTGTGTCCATAAAAATAAAAAAGACTCTATCTTCATTCTTGATGGGCCTTTTTATAACTAGCTTTTTGATGGTCCCCTATCAAATTTTCAAACTGATCACAGCCTTATAAGTGAAGACAACCTGAGTTAGAGAAATGCAAAACAGTAATTATGGGGACTACCAGAAGCGACTCTTGGCATGCCGGGAGAGTGTCACAGACTTACATTTTCATAACTAGATTCTGCTTCCCAAGTGGACATACATGACTCCTAGACCCCAAATGTCCCTCTCCCTTTGCCTTTGACGATACACACCGAGGGCGGGAGGGAAGGATTCTGGAAGGGTGAAGATATATTCTCCATAAGAGAGATTCAGGATTTAGGTTTAAATGCTTTTCTTTTACATCCTAAGATAAGAATGCATAGTGAAAAATACACAAAGAAGTAAATAAATGAATAGCAAACAAAGAATGAAAGAAAGAATCCATAGTGAAAATGTCTTCCTTATTGTCATTGCATTTTACTCTAGTGCTGTACAAACAGACTCAAGCACACTCTCTCATAATAATGGTTCCAGTATTTTCTGGTCAATTCTGCTGCCCAGCATGTTAAGCAACAGGCCAGCAACCGAACGGCACCCCCAATCCGTAGCCACAACTTTGGGGCCTGAGTCGACATCTGTACCTACGCTCATTATCACTTGTTTTTGCCACAAAAGTGGACACTCATATGGTAAAACATGTCACTCATACTGAATTCCAAGATTCAATATTATAGTTTTTTCCCTCACTAAAAAGACATTAGCAGACCACACTGAAGAACCTAGTTCTCCATAAAATGTCTAGTATGGGTGGGTCAATTTGAGGAGAATAAATGGAATTATGTAAAACACAATTTAGTAGCATATAAACATCTCTGGAGAAAAATCTTCTGTAGTAATGCACAGTACCCAAAATATCTAAAATAATAAATGGAAACTCTAAAGCAATGGCTAACAATAGAAGAAAGCTTTTCAAACAATCTCAAGAAATCAGCAGTTGAGGCTTCACTGTTCAGTGATATATTCTCCAACTTGCTTACCTTTGATCACAATATAAGGAGACATTTCACAGAACACACTGCTGTATGCACACTAGCTACTCTGATTTACGGTCACAATTTACACAAGTGAAGTATTTACTTCTTATCTGACCAAGAAAAAACAGCTAATTTATCAGATAACTAAACTTACTATCAAAACAAAAAAATCATTCCCCATGTGACATAATAATCTACCTCATCTGTCTTCATCAGACAGCTAGAGCAAGGCACTGAAGGGCCAGGAGCTCGGGTTCATTCGCTGGAAATAGCAATAATAATAGAGAGTACATATGTTAATAACATGATGTTACATGTGAACTCACATGAATACTAACAGGTAAGTAGGAGGACCCTATTATCTCTCGAGCTACAGATGAGCAAACCAGCCACACAATGGGCTAGAGCAGAGCTCTGAGAACAGAGCTTCTGACTCCTAGAACAGTGCTCTCTCCGCCACCCCACGGTCACCAAGGATCTTTTCTCTCTTTCAGATCCGAGGACTCCACCCATTTCTAAGCTCATCAGTCATATTCCTGCCACTGATCCAAAGGGACTAGAACAAGATTTGTAACTAAACTAAGAGTAAGACACCCTTAGCTCAGAAATTAACTTAAAAGACAAACCCTACTGACAAGGGTGACCAGCATCGCCATTACTCTCCCGCCCCCACATCGGCCACACTCAAAGGTTTGCTCACAGTGGGACTGCTGGGAAGATTTTAAACACCCTGATACCCAGGCTGTTTCCCATACCAATTAACTCAGCAACTCGAGAACTCAGGCATCAGTATTTTGTAAAATCCTCCTGGTGACTCCAAGTGTGAGAGCCAGTTTCTCGGGGGAAGTATACAATAAAGACTGGGGTAATTAACTTTAAGGCCGTGTTAGATTAAACAAAATTAAACTTCACACTACATGATAACAAGGATGCAAATGTTTTTATGTCTCAAATGGTAAAAATAAATAGAAACTGGAGTTTCTTTCTTTCCACCAGACAGATGTGGGAGTTAATAGCAATTTACATGGCTTTTTATTCAATTATCAGTGTTTCAGTGTTGCCCTCCTGTAGAACTGACAACAGCGTGGACAGTTTCAAGCACTGTCCTGCCTGAACACGTCGCAGCTTTGTATAGATATTATTAAATGTTGGAAAGATGGCATGGTCAAGTGAAGTCCGAGGAAAGCGAGGCACACACATCAAAGACACTGAGAAACAGGGAAGCTTGTTAACACCTGTGACCAGAGTCACTGCCAGGAGCCAGTGGCTACTTGAAAGGCCCAGTTTTGTTTCTGCCCCGTGAAGAAAACATTGAACTTGTTGCAGAGACGCGAGGCCTGAAAGGATGAAGTGTAATACTCAAGAGACATCTAACATTGTTCTTTTTACAGAGTTGGTCCATATTTAAAAAATACAATGCTCAGTGAAGTGACCGCTTCTACACGAGCTCTTGTCAAATTTACAAGCAGGAAAATGACAAACTGTACTGAAATTCTGGTACATTTGCTCTAGATAAGCGGGCGTTCGTAATGAATATAATTCCTGTCACTTAAATGTAAACTTACCCAATTGTCCAAAATTGATATTTGATTCCACGAAAAAGGCTGGGTCAATGGAAGAATCTTAAAAGCATCACGACTAACCGAGGTTTAAAGAAAACTTGCTTCAAACATAGAACCGTAGGAGGGGGGTGTTCAACACCAAAACAGACTTCATGCCAACCTGTGGAATATTTCTTCCACATCAAGTAAACACCGCTCTATGGTGCATTTTTCCCACAGAAGTCTAGGTGGTGATCTACAGTTATGACGGAGCCCACAGAGCAACTTAGAAGATCTCAGGGAGAACTTGAAGTCAATGCAGCTCGAAGCCTTCAGAAGGGGACCAAAACAAATGCCAAGCTTTATGAACAAGCTACAGGAAATCAATGTGGACAGCACCAGTGACAAGTGATACTGCCTGAAGAGTCCCCCCTTTGGACAGAAACGAGTAAAGCTGACAAGCCTCATCTCTCCTCAGCACACCTTCTCAAAGGCACCAGCACACACACACACACAGAGAAACTAGAAATTGGAATCTGTGACTGCTGTTCTTTAAAACATTGCACCTGCCTCTAACACCTCTATAAAGTGTGTAATAGCATCACATCTGACTGACAATGCTAGACGCCCCACATGGCTTTGAAGAAAATTAAAATAACCATCCACTAATCATAATGCTATTTCATCCTAAATAGTTTCAGTTTGGGCTGATGGGGGAAAAAAGCCACATTTAAACTACCTCCACAACTCCGTAGCAAACACAATTCAGAAGGTAGGTCTATAAATAGATGCGCTTCTGTATGCACACTGTAAATACAAAATCATCAGGCTAGCCGAGAGGCTGCAATGCAAGCTGAAGCCCCAATATGAACTTACCTGATTTTTAAAGTCCCATCAAGAATATGCTTCCAATCAGTACTGATCCCCTTTTTCTAGTTGCATATAAGGCAAAACACCCCCCACTACATTTGACTTTCTCTCAGTCCCATCCTTCCTCAGAAGCTTTGCGATTTCATTCAGAAGCAGCCGGCCCTCAACAGACTGAATATGCACAGAAACAGCAATGAAAGGGATCGAAGATAAACCCTACAGACGCACCAAGAAAATAGCAACATGAACACCAAGAAGCAGCAAATCCTTAAGAAGTGCTTTTCTTAGCTGCATTTCCCAAGCCAGCCCCCTTCCACGGGTGGGTACGATGTCTCAGTTAGGAAGGAGGATCTTACCTGAGCTGATCATACTGTGCATTCTCTGCTGAGCCAAGAGCTGCTCTCGTCCAGCCACCCCATCTGAGGAAAAACACGAGTCACTCTCGTAAATTGTCTGCAGCATATTGCAATCACTCTCCCCTCAGCTACATGAAACATTCATCTCTGCTCTGTGCAGGGGCCCCAGGAGCTGCCCTCACTGGTCCTCCCTCCTCCCCTGAGCAGAAGCAGCAGAGGATCAACTTCAACAATGATCTCCTTTCTGTTCAGATGGACACACACTTTTTCAAAAGACCTGGACACTTTTCCCCGGTTACCAACCTGTGTGCAAAGCAGAAATGATCGGGCGGATGCTATGACTCTCTGGAGTTTAGGTTACCCTGAAAACTAAAAGCAGGTGGGAAATTGGAATGTGCTTCACAGTTATTGCTTTGTCAGAAAAAGTAGAAAAATATTAGCTCTCCCCATGAGGAAAAAAAAAACAATTAAACCTGGCTTAAAGTTCTTCAGGCTGCTAGAGTTTCCCTGCAAGAACCGTCAGTCCTGCAAGTGGCTGCAGCGGGTGCCCTTCTCCTCCTATCTGTTTGCGTGTATGTCTTCCCCTCTCTCTGGTCTCTCTCAGCTCAAGTTGGCTAAACCTAGTGATAATCCATTTGCATATGAATCAACAACAGCATGGCCCACAGGCACAGAAATAGAACAATGGTCGGCCTGAGCCAAAAATAGGTCAAGCCTGGCCGAGTGATTGGAGCCTGCATTAATGCATTTAAAAATACCCCAGCAAACCCAGCTGTCCAGCCTCTATCTTTCAAACCATAATTCTCTATTGCAGGGCCTTAGAAGCAATTAACTCCTTCCTCTCTCTAAGCTTGCTTTACACACTGTTTCCACACTGGTGATTCGTATCCAAAGAAAGGAAGGTAAAAAAAAAATTAAGAAACATAATTCTAAGAGGGCAAATGCACATACATTTCACTTCATTTTATTTTTGTACTATGTGTTTTTGGAAGGGAAAGGAGAGAAGTGCAGAGCTCTGTATTGGTTCTAAAATAATACTGGAAGCTTTTGCTCATAATGTGGTTTCTGCCTCGCCCACGCACAGCAATCCTGGTGTTCTATTTTTGCTGCCTGTTTCTTTGGCTACACGGCACTTGGCTGTAGCACTAGAAGCTTTTCTGCCTTCTAGTTTCAAGACTGACAGGAGATTTAATAGAGGTAGTTTCGGAAAACAAGCGCACTCCAGAATCAAATGTTTATAAAGGACTGGCTCGATATTTTTTTTTCTACTTGCTATTTATGTAAGGCAATTGTCCATTTCACAAATTCAGATATGGTGGTGGCAACCACTATCAATTTTATTGCATCCTGCCTTTATGATCTTTAAATTTTAAAGCACAGCTTAGATCTGAAATGTTCCCTCTATTTCAGCCTCTCGGGCTAAATTCAATTTACCTGCAAAAGGAAAAGAAAGTGAGGGTGCTTTCTTGTGGATGGATGTAGAACTAGTGAACATATGCACCTGTGAATCAATCAATAAACATGCTGAGTCCCTAACTATGAACGTTCTGCATTCATCTCTGCTTTGGTTGCTTGAAATACAGACCTCACTTTTCTAAAAGAAATAGCCTTTATAATAGTTGACCAACACATGTTGGGGAATTCACCTATAAAGTAAATGAACTACAGTATACAGTACTAAGAATTCTATAGTCTCTGGTGTACACTTAGAACATCATTTCCACATGAGAAATAATTCTGCATCACGAATTGGACTGCTAGCATCCAGCCACTCCAGGGCAAACAAGAAAGTGATAGAGCTCTCCTCCTTGTTCTAAACGAAATCAGCAACAAAATGTAATTCTTAGGGCATTAGTAGCAATGAAGATGGGAGAAGAAAAAGCAGAATGTTTCGAGGTCCCCAGAACAATCAGGTGGAGGAGGGATCTTCATCAAGGACAGAGTTGGGGGGCAGAGTAAAGAGAAGAGGACAAGAGTTTGGTGGAAAGGAGGAAACCTGTTAAGTCATTAGGGAGATATAACCCACTGCTGAAGAAAATGGCACTGAATTTTCCTTCTTCACAGATTAACTCCTACTTCTTGCACAATTATATTTGGGCAGATAAATTAAAGGATTTATAAAAAGAAGTTATTCCAAACTGCATTTACTTAAGTTAAACAAGAAAATCTTATGTTCCTGTCAGTGGGAAAAAAACCTTTTAATTCCATCTGGTATTACAAGTAACTTTCACTCGGTTAAGAGATGAGTAGGGATGGACATACGGTGAATCTGGCAATTTACCTCTGAGATGATGTAACCAATCATAGCATTTTAGACCTAGGCAGAAATTCAGAGATTGCCTACAATGGTGTTCAAGCTCTCTGTCCCCCAAGAGGCTAAAGAAAGTACTTGGGAGCCAACTCACACTGTTCTTCACCCAGAAATGGTTTTTCCCCCTGAGCAGGGTAGTCTCACTGTTACCTGCCTACATGTGGGTACCTAAGATTTCTTCTGAAAAAGACCTCTCTTATGTAAAAAAATTAATTGAAAACCATTCATCTAACACTAACAAGTTCCCCATTTTACACATGAGGAAAGTGAAAAGACTCACTGAAGTTTGTAAATGTACTCATGGGTGGTTTTATGCCTAAAGAGTCTTGTGTGGTGTCTAACAGATCCTCTCTAAGGAGGTCAGGTGTTCATGGCCTCTAGTCTGCCATCTTGTCTCTAACCAAAATGATGCATAGAATTATCTGAGATGTTTGGAATAACTTTTAATATTAGCTACTGATGAAAAATGGATCCAGTGTCTAATTGTTTCAGAATGACTTGAACAGAATAGGCAAAACTAGTGATAAACATCTGACGGACAACAAAAATCCCAGTATTGCTATAATATACTCATATACCTTTTGTCATTTTAAGTTTAAATTGTACCCCTCGAACTACAAAAGTCTCCAAGCTTTTATAATCATAAAAAAGTAAAGTAAAACTCCAAAAGAATGCCTTAGTAACTATCCTATTTCTCAGGGGTTCTGGGAAAGGGCATTCCACAGAAAATAGTACAAATAATGTGCCTTCTTCATTTTGACCAAGTTATTTAACTGGAGGTTTATTTACATTTCATCCCCGCATTATTTCATCATTTTTCCCTATCAGCAGTCTTGTATTTCAACACCTGATAATGAAAACCTAGAGTGAAAAGACTTTGGACAATTATCATAAAATAGATACTACTTGTTTTTGAAAGGAAAAATAAGCCTCATTAAAACCTCTACCAAGTATACCGGTTACCATAGTTTCACTATGCAATAAGTCTTTGGAATTTTGAGTTAATTTTTTTTGTATCATCTCAAAAATATCAGTAAAGAAATGTGACTAGGTTTTCTTATAGGCATTTACAAAAGCAATTTACTCACTTCAGAAAAGATATTAAATTTTATATTATAAGAACCATGAAAGCTAATACAAATGTCAGGCTAAAACAGATTGACAGTGTTGAATATCTCAATACAATACATTTTAATTCCATTTAATAAATATTTTGGAAATTGATCTGATATTATAGTTTACATTTCTTAAATATGAAGTACAAAAAAAAAGAAAGGAAACGGGTTCCCAGTTTAATAGAAAATGCAAATGGGAACAAACCCGAAATGTCATTTAAGAGTGACTATGATCATTTGAATTCTTCTTATGCAGGTATATAGGCAAAAACAAGAAAATGTATAAAATATCCGTATGGTACCAAAACATTTGCAGAAACATCCTCAGATTCCTAGCTCACAATAACCTTTTCTCAAATCAGTCTAAGTTGACAGCTGAAGACTTTACTGGAAAGAAGGTTGCGTAACTTCATTTATTTCACTACAGTGATACCCCTCCGTTCATCCCTAATCAGGTATAGGCTTTTCTCACAGTACCAAACCTTGTTATTTTAGAATCTAGATGCTGTCAGATGTAAAATTCGTTTGCCTAAAATGCTGAATTGTGCTTTACAGGAAAGCTCCAAGTTATTCACCCAAAACTGGAACGCCTCCATCCGCTCTCATTCATGTCGTTTCTTCTCCCATCCTCACCGTTCTCAGACTACACTCACAGAAGTAAAATACATACATTTGCCTGTAGGCAACAGACTTGGTTCTTACAGATTCCCAAGGATAAGAAGGCAGAGGAAAAGTACAGTGCACTAATTTTGATTTTGAACTAAATAGCTTATGTACCTGAATTTTCTACCTCCTGAAGGAACATCACCAATTCCTATTAAATAGTAAATATTTAGTGTACAAGTGATCCCTCTCATGAAAACAACCCACTTGGTTAGAAAATGGTCTTCAGATAAGGAAATGTCTCCTGGACCAAAGAACAGGTAAAGGGTTTGAGGAAACACATCCACACGTGTTTTATATGAGACCATTTTACATAAAAACAAAAACATCAACTGAAACTCTGTATTTGTTGGCCTTGCTTTGACTGAAAATATTTCTTCCCTATGAATGGTATGTGTTAATCTATGATTTATTCTATTTGGGGGGGTTAAAAAGCATCAAGATCACATGGGAATTTCTTGGAAATGCAATTCGTGGGGCCCTACCTCCGAATTACTAATTTAAAATTTCTGCTATTTTATTGTGAAAGCCCTCCCAGTGATTCTGATGCACAATAAAATTTAAAAACAATAAATAAATTATCCTTTCCAAAGCAATGATTTGATGGCTAAAAATATACATGGATAAAGTATCTTTTTATGATCCAATTTCAAATTAGCCAGGATAATTAGAGAACAATATTTCAAAATGAAAATAATTAAATTTAGCTAAGAGACTGAAGAAGACTCTTAATATTCAAGGTATGAAAAGAACATGGAGCATCGCCCAGAAAACGATTCTCTCTTGTCTGCAGATGAGCCCAGCCTCACACACTTAAGGTGACAGGCATGTATGCACCCACTTTCTCCACTAAAGCCACTTTGTTTTAGGTTCTATCTTTTCATTTTCTGGTTGCACACTAACCCCTTTACACAAATCTCAGAGCAGCCAGCCCGGCGGGGAGAAAGAGACATGATCATGTGCAGTCCCATAAG